GGTTATGTACAATCTACAGGTGCTGCGAAGAGATGCATGATGATTTAAAGGAATGTACCAAGGAAAACAACCCAATGATACAATTGTTATGGACCAGACCAAATTCCACCCCTCCAAAGTATATTATGGAGACAGCCTAGACACTAATGTTTATATTTTTTTAAAAAGGCAAGTATAAGATGCTCTGTTCCAGATATGATCGATTGGTCCACCACCAAGCTTTAATAAAAACACACTTTATTGTTGCAACACAAAGAAGTATTGGCATAACTTTGCTCTATTAACATACTTAACAAGAGAATGTATCATTTAACCACTAATCATCAAATATTCCTACATGGGTAGTATCCCATAAACACACCCTTGGGCAAAGGCAGTTCAGCAACACAGTTATTAATCTCAGACCTGTCTCTCTCCAGTCCAGTAGAAAGAAACACTGAAAGAAACAGTCTGTCCCTTTTTATTTTTAAGAGGAAGCCTCTCTGCCTAAAACTTCACTCTATCAGCAGGAAACTCAACCTTTGACTCATGAGCCAGCAAAACCCATCAACTAACTGAAGGCAAAACCAGCATTCTTTGCGTCTGTCTGAGCCTGCCCCACTCACTCATGATTCTTTTGTCTTACCTTAAAAAAAACACCCAGTCCATGCCAATCATGTCCCACTTGCCTGCATTTGGCCCATATCCTTACAATTGATGTACTTATCCAAATGTCTTTTAAATGTTGTATCTGTACCTGTATTCACCACTTCCTCTGGCAATTTATTCTGCACACTAACCACTCTCTGTGTAAAAAGATTGGCCCCCATGTCCTTTTTAAAACTTTCTCTTCTCACCATAAAATATATCCCCTAATTTTGAATTCCCCACCCTAGGCAAAAGACCCTTGTCATTCACCTTATCTATGCCCCTCATGATTGTATAAACCTCGATAAGGTCACCCCTCAATCTCCTACACTCCAGTGAAAAAATTCCCAACCTATTCAGCCTATTTTTAGAACTCAAACACTCCATTCCCAGCAACATCCTGGTAAATCTTTTCTGAACCCTCTCCAATCTAATAATATCCTTTCTATAGCAATAATATCCTTCATATAGCATCAGTGACGAGAAAGCATAGTTTACGTTTCAAGTCCAGTAAGCCTTCTTTAGAACTATTGTTGTTTGTTCACCAGTGTCACATTCATTGCTCACCTGTACCACATGCTTTCCAACTTTACAATTAAGAGATATAGAGCTGTATCTCCATAGGTTACATCTTCAAGAGCACTCAACATGAAAATATACTACATTCGCACATTGTGAAACATTGCGCTTCAAATTATTGGAAAATAATTGTATTTTTTTGATCATTCATCAGGTGTGGCAATTGCTGGCTGGGCCAGCATATATTGCCCGTTCTTGTTGCCCTTGAGAATGTGATGTTGAGCTACTGCCTTTAAAAATTGCAGTCCATTTCATGTAGGTACACCCACAATGCCATTAGGGAGGAAGTTCCAGGATTTCAACGCAGCAACATTGAAGAAATACGAATAGATTTCCAAGTCAGGATGGTGAGAGGCCTGGAAGGGCACTTGCAGTTGGTGGTGTTCCTGTGTATCTGCTGCCCTTGTGCTTCTAAATAGTAGTGGTCATGGATTTGGAAGATGCCATCTAAGGAATCTTCATGAATTTCTGCAGTACATATTGTAGATGGTGCACATAGCTCTTACTGTTCGTTCATGGTGGAGGGACTGAATATTTGTGGATGTGGTGCCAATCAAGTGGATGGTTTTGCCCTGGATAGTTTCAAGTGTTTTCATTGTTCATGAGCTGTAGTCATCCAGACTAGTGGAGAGTATTCAATCACATTCCTGACTTGTGCCTTTGGAGAGTCAGGCAGTGAGTTGTTCACCACAGATTCCTAGCCTCTGGCCTGCTCTTGTAGCCACAATATTTGTATTGAATATCAAGGGGTGTTAGTTGAATTCTTTCTTGTTGAAGATGTTTATTTCCTGGCATCTGTGTGATGCAAACATCACTTGTCACTTATCATAGAATCCCTACAGTGTGGAAACAGGCCATTTGGCCCAACAAGTCCACACTGCCCCTCTGAGGAGCATCCCACCCAGACCCATTCCCCTACCCGTACATTTCCATTGTCTAACCCACCTAACCTGAACATCCCTGGGCACCATGGGCAATTTAGCATAGCCAATCCACTTACCCTGCACATCTTTGGATTGTGGGAGGAAACCAGAGCACCCGGAGGAAACCCACGCAGACACGGAGAGAATGTGCAAACTTCACACAGACAGTCGCCCGAGGCTGGAATCGAACCCAGGTCCCTGGCGCTGTGAGACAGCAGTGCTAACCACTGAGCCACCGTGCCACCCAAAACTTGTCAGCCCAAACCTGGATATTGTTCAGAACTCGCTTTGGTATCTAAGAAGTTGTGAATGATGCTAAATGTGGTGCAATCATCAACAAACATCCCCACTTCTGACCTTGTGATTGATGGAAGGTCACTGTTGAAGTAGCTGAAGATGATTGGGCCTAAGCTTGCTTTGTGTGGATATCAGTGCACTAGTGTCAATGTAGATTGTCTGCCAGGAAGGTGGTATCAGAACTGTGTGGAGCAATGGAGGACAATTTGAGACCATAGTCAATGGGGTTGGTCAGAGAAGGTAGCTACAGGCAGCTAAATTGCTGCAGTGAGCTCTGTGGAGCTGCAAGCTCATTTAAGCTTGAGGAGGTTTATTTTGTGCAGCTATGGGTTTGGACTCAAAAAGCCCATAAACAGTATTCATTGATCAGTGCAGTTCTGAGACTGGAGTTCAGAGAAACAACAAGTGAATTATTTCAAAAGAGTAGAAATGATGCCAGCTACTAAAAGTGCTGCAGTGCAGTGTGTGAATCCCCATAGGATGTATTTTTAGGAGAAGAGATTGAGTAGCCGGTTGCAGTATGACTGACAAGATGGGACCATCCTGTGATTAAATTCTGGAGTGTAGACTAGCGATATAGTGGGATCCAAACTCAGCCGTAGGATCTCTGAGCCACTGCCTTTTTATAATAATGATGTTCCGGTTTTTATTGCAAGAAAGATATCTCATATAAAGGATCAAACTCATCTCTTCATTTTTGCCAGGACTTGTTTGTCACGTCTGTGTTGATGACTAGATCTTGACACAGTATGCAATACATCATCTGGCTATAGACAATAAAAAGGAGGATTAATCCAATTTGGCTAATGGCTATCCCATCATGTACTCTTGATCATTAATGAAGTGATGAAAAGTATGATCTACAGTGTTATCAAACAGCACTTACAGAGTAACAACCTCTTCATTGATGCCCACTTTGGGTGTTGCCAAGGCCACTCAGCTACTTACTTCATTGCAGCCTTGGTCAAAACATGGACAAAAGAACTGAACTCTATAGGTAAGGTGAGAGCGATTGCCCTTGACATCAAAGCAGAATTTGACTTAGTGTGACATCAGGGAAACTTGGAAAAATTAGTCAACGGATATCTGAAAAAGCTCTCCACTGCTTGGAGTGAAAGCTAGCACTGTTTGAAGTCACGACTTGTTGTTATGAAACCCAAACTATACCATTATTCATTCACTCTTGTTGATTACAAATGGGAATATTCTTCCTAAAAGCACTGTTGATGCATCAACGTCAGATAGACAGCAGTGGTTCATGAAGGCACCATTCCCACCTTATCAGGAACAGTAAGTGATTATCAACAAATATTGTCAGTGATATTTGCATCTCACAAAAGAATAAAAAAGTCATTTCAGCCTCAGGACACCACTGAAGGAGTTCCCTGAGCTAGGCTTCTAAGCCTTATCATCTTCAGCTGTTTCAGCAATGATACTTCCACCATCATAAAGTGAAAAGTTGGGATATTTGCTGTTGATTGCACAAAGTTCAGCACCGTTTGCAGTTCCTCAGATACTGAAGCAATCTTTGTCTAGCCTTGGACAACATTCAAACTTGGGCTAATAGGTAGCAAGTAACATTGCCTAGTACTTGTGTGAGGCCAATGACCATCCCTAAAAAGTAATTGCAGTACAATTACAGTGTCTCTGCATCCGCAGCACAATGGGGAGATGGAACAAAGACTGCAGAGTGGATAAGCTGTGCAAGTTGCCCTCTTCCAAGTTAGAGTCCAATCACTGTGTATTCTGTGACTGTGACAAGCTGTCAGACATGCTAGCCAATGCTCTGAGCATCTTGCTTCTTTTATATGCCACTCTATCAAGCACTGTATCTGAATCATTTGTAGCAAAACATATCCACAATCTTACTCTCTGGTGAGATAACAAACTAACCATCCTTTACCCCGATGTGGTTGCAGCCAATCTTGTCTGTTGAGTCACCACGTGCTGATGTCAAGTCTATATTAGCATCTAAGGTATGCAGAGTATAATAAAACAAAGAACTGTGGATGCTGGAAATTTGAAACAAAAACAGAAATTGCTGGAGTATCCCAGCAGATCTGGCAGCATCTGTGGGGAGAAAACAGAGTTAAATTTTTGAGCCCAGTGACTTTTCATCAGAACTAAACCTGTTCCTGAGCTGGCAAATCAAGGAATGGGACCTCATCAGTGCTGTGGAGTTACTCTTTTTTCATCCTTGGGCTCCTGTCTATGTCCCTGGGAGCTATAATTTTTGCCCTTGGATCAGGTCTTTCCCAATGTAGGTGGATGGGACTCTCCTAGATTAAATTCTGGCCTTCACATGACAGCACCTAGTTAACAAGAAAGAGATCCAATTATTGGATTTTATTTGAATTTTTGTGCCTGTTTTCCTATAAAAATCAAGTATCATTGTGTTAAGTGGCTAATTTGTCTTGCATACTTGCGTTCAGTGGGTTTTATTACTACATGGTTAGAACATTATCACCTTTTAGCTAGAGTTTTTCCATATCTTGATCTTTATTTAGTATTGAACCACAATATGTATTTATCAGGCAGTTGCACAGTTAACATTTTCTGTCAATTTATTTGCAGACCACCAGTCAGCAGAGCTCCTCCTCAACCAGAGAAACTACAAAAGAACAATCTTAATAAGAAGAAGAAACTAGTGGAGGTAACAGAATTCCTAGCTCTCTTTTAACATTTTCAACGATGTTAATTACCTTTTATCAACAGCTGATCAGACATCAAACATCACTGCATTAGTTTTGGAGACTTGAAATTCACATGTAGTGGAGTCATTTAATGATCGAGAAGCATACATGAAGCTTATCATCCAAAATTCTAGAAAATATTTGAATGGATTTTAACCAACTTTGAACCTACTCCCTCTTGAAGGCTCAAATTATGGGTTACTCATTCAAGTATTCATTTTCAGCATTACATTTTAAAATTGATCACAACTGAATTTCAGGCATAAAGGAGAGCTACTGACTTCACAATTGAAGAGCTCAATTGCATGGGATCTTTCCGCAGTTTGCACATTTTCGGTGGGGAAACTGACTGAAAGGAAATTTCTTCCTAATTTAGAAAAGTTGATTTTACAGTACTTGATCTGATGCAAACGGTGTGCAAACTGGAAGGTAATCTGGGAGATAGACACCTTTAGAAATGTAAAAACCGAAAGAACTGCAGATACTGGAAATCAGAAACAAAAACAGAAATTGCTGAAAAGGCTCAGCAGGTCTGATGGCATCCGTGGAGAGGAATCAGAGTTAATGTTTTGGGTACAGTAATCCTTCCTCAGAACTCCTTTAGAAATGTTCCTCAGAATTGATAAATATAGCATGGAATTCTGTTTCAGTAGCTCACTTGGCTCAATGGCTGGTTTGTAATGTAAAGTAACACCAGTAGCATGGGTTCAATTCTCAAACTGGCTGAGGTCACTATGAAGGACTCTCCTTCTCAACCTCTCCCCTTGCCTGAGGCATGGTGATCCGCAAGTTAAACCACCAGCAGTCATCTCTCTCTCTCTCAAATGAGAGAGCAGTCCTGTGGCCCAGGAGGACTTTAGTGACTTTATCTTCCGAATTTAGATGGAAGTTTAACTTAAATGTCACACTAAACTTCTTACACATTGGTTAGTCAGAATTATAAAGGTCTGCAGCACAGGTAGAGGCCCTTCAGCCTATCGAGTCTGCATAGTCAAAAACAAACACCAAACCATTCTAATCCAGTCATCCATGTAGTTTCTCTATCTTCTCAGATAGATAACATAGTATCATTTGTCCACCTTTATAAAATGGGCACGCAGGATTTATACGGTGGAGTTGCACTTGGAAGATAATTGCTGCAAGAAAATTGTTGGAGAATTTTCCTGCCATTTCTCAACTGTTTCCTTTAGGCCCCACTTTTTGTTCCTAGATTGGGTGCACAGAATCAGCAGGAATTATGGTTTAGTAAACCTAATCATTAAAAATGGCCACTTGCACTTCCCATTTTTAGCTGGGCCAAGCAGTTTGGATTGGGAGTCAGGTCACTTGACCCAAGAGGAGCAGTGGAGACTGTCAGTTCCCAAGGCAGATTGAGTGGAAAGCTAGCCTGGGGTCGCTGGCAATGTATTGAAAGTTTAAGAATAAAGATGTAAAAATCATCTGGCCAAAAGAGGACCTGATTGAGGTGTATAAGATTATGACTGGTGTGGATGGGGTGGATAGGAAAAAGATCTGGAATGTACTGCCTAGGAGAACAGTAGTGACAGGAAACCTCACAACCTTTACAAGGTACATGGGTGAGCACTTAAAATGTCATTACATTCAAGGCTATGGGACAAGTGCTGGAAAGTGGAATTAGTGTAAATAGGTCAGTGCAAACTGAATGGGCTGAAGAGCCTCTTCTGTGCTTGTGATCCTATGATTCTATCCTTCTTGCTCTCACCAATCACTCCCCATGCCGCATCCATGCCAACCCATATCAACCTATACAGTCCTTCATAACCCCATGCCAACCAGTGCCCTGTACCTGCCACCATAACCCATGCCAACATATACAGCTGTATCAACTCCCTATGGTCCTGTCGTAGCTCATACACTCCAATCATCCCCATGATATTTCTAACGTTTACGCCAACTCAACGCAAACTCATACCTCCCACATTTTTGCCTTCCTTCACCATGCCAACTCACCTATTATGTAGCATGGATGTAACTCAGGAGGTGTCCTGACAGAAAATAATGTTATAAATCTATTGATGATGTCACTATTGAAAAAGAAAACTCATAGTTTGAGAAATCAGTCATAGAGTATAGATTCTGTAATGATTTTATGTGAACAGTTACCTTCAAATTACTAATAGATTTTTTTAACTCCACATTTTTTAGGAAGTTCTTTGAAACATTGGCAGTTTCAGTAGAGACAACAAGGTGCAGAGCTGGATGAACACAGCAGGCCAAGCAGCATCAGAGGAGCAGGAAGGCTGACGTTTCGGGTCTGGACCCTTCTTCAGAAA